CACACACACACACACACACACACACACACACACACACACACACACACATGTAATATGATCAGAAAAAACAAGAAAATGGGTTCTTCTCAATGGGTGACATTTGAAATCTTGCGAACTTCCAAATGTGCGAACGAGTCTCACGAAAAATACGAAAGCAAAAGATGAAAAATAAAAAGAATAAATTAATAAATAATTAATAAAATAATAAAAGAATAAATAAAACACACAATTAATATGATCGGATAAAATATAAAAAAAGAAAAGAAAATAAAACAGGTTCTTTTCAATGGGTGACGTTTGAAATCTTGCAAACTTGCGAACGTGCGAACGAGTCTCGTGAAAAGGATCAAATAAAAAGATCAAATAAAAAGAATAAATTATTAAATAATTAATAAAACACACGCATAACATGATCAGAACAAAAAGGAAAACAAAAAATAAGAAGAAAACGGGTTCTTTTCAATGGGTGACGTTTGAAATCTTGCAAACTTGCGAACGTGCGAACGAGTCTCGTGAAAAAGATCAAATAAAAAGATAAAATAAAAAGAATAAATTATTAAATAATTAATAAATTAATAAAACACACACACACACACAAACACATACTATAATCAGATAAAACAAAATTAAAAACAAATTAAATGCAAAGTAAGCGTGTTCTTTTCACTTGGGTGGTGACGTTTGACATCTTGCGAACGTGCGAACGTGTAATTCGCGAAAAATACGACATAAAAATAAAAATAAAAATAAGAAGATGACGATGATGAAGAAGAGGAGGAAGAGGAGGAAGAGGAGGAGGAGGAAGAAGAGGAGGAGGAGGAGGAGGATGAAGAAGATCGGAATCTGTTGCTCGGTAAAGCGAGGTAAACGGACTGTGGTTTGTTTACTGCGCATTTCGAATGGAGACGAGTAACGAAAAGAGAGAAAGAGAGAGAGAGAGAGAGAGAGAGAGAGAGAGAAAGGGAAGCGAAAAAACAGAATGAAATAAAGAAAGAGGGTGAGAAGAGGGTGGTGGGGAGTTGTGGGAGAGAGGGAGGGGGGAAGGTATACTTGTGCCTTCAGAAGAAGTGAATGACCGGGCCCCAAAAGCAAGTTCCCTCTTCTTCTACATATGCGCGTAAACATAGATAAATATATATATATATATATATGAACTTAAGGATCCTTTAACTTTTACATATACGTCGTTCAATGTGTTAAACAACATGTTTTGTGCTAACGAATAGCTTCGTTATGATTAGTCGTGATTTTTTTCTTGTCAGATAATATTACACATGAACGAGCAAGTAATCTTATTAATTATTGTTGCAAATTTATGATTAATTAATAAAGTAACTTTTTTAATTTATAAATTATTAAGTTTAGTCGTAATGTTTGATAAGGAATTAATTTATTTTTCCTTTTTGTTTTTGTTTTTGATTAATACATGTTGAGTGATACACGTCAGTCATATTTTCTGTTTTCTTTTTTTTATTTTTTTATTTTTATTTTTTATTTACAATTTTCTTTACAAATTATACAAGGCGAACTTTAGCATAACACGTTTGAAGTTTTTCATTCAATTGGATTCTATTAAAACTGCAGGACAAGAATGAAGTTTGCAGAACAAGATGATGGAATTCTCCACATGTTGGGTTCAAGACTTTTCAGTCTCTTCTATAGGTAAGAAAATATTGACCACCTTATATAATATAATATATTTATTAATTTGTAAAATACTTTTATGTATTTCATGTATCATTATATATTTTTTTTTACAGTTAACCTTCATACGATTAGAACAGACTGGACAAATATTCAATTTTCAGCATATCTAAATATTTTTAAAAGTTTCCTGGTGAAAGAAGAATAATTATTGGTCATCTAATGGATTATTAACATACAACAGCGGCTTAAATAAGACGTAATATGTTTTTTAAATGCACTTTTAAAAAAAATTACATATTAATATATGTTAAAAATCAAATGTACATTAAAGAAATGTAATAAAAATCTTTATGTACGACAAATGGAATCAATAAAATATATTTAAATGAAATTAAATAAGTAGTTAAAATTATTTCCATTGTGTAAAACAATTTCTAAATTAAAAATATACTTATGAATAAAAAAAAATACAGAAGAATGCAACGTTAGGAAAATTTATTTATTTGTTTAAAAAACGTACACATAAATACAAGTTTTAAGACACTTCTAGTAAGAATCCTCCGTGGCCAAGTCGGTATAGGCGCTGGCTAGTGTACGTGAGATCGCGGGTTCGAATCCCGCCAGTCGCAAAAATATTTTTTCTCGGATGACGTTACATAAACAGTGATGTACATCTTTTTCAATAAATTTTTAAGTTCATTTATCTATTTTGAAATTTAAATACAAGTTTTAAAATACATTTTTCAAGTGTCTTGATAGCTCGGTGCTAGAGTGTCAGGATTCAAACCGTGGGTTCGTAAGATCGAATCCCGGCCGTCGCAAAAATAAAATTAATTTTATTTTAAATTTATTTTAACGCGTGATGACGTCATGATGACGTGGCCAGAGGGGGTGAAACTTAGGGGTGACCACGATGTTAGTTACCACACCCTCTTTGGTATTATTTCTATATTGCGTATGTACGAAGGGGTGGTTACGAAAAATAGTTCCACCCCCTGTTAAAGATCTTATTTTTAAATAAATGTATTTAATTCTAAAATTAAATTATTCTTAAGTTCATAATATACATATTTTTTTTCGAAAAAATGAAGATTTTTAAAAAACTGAAAATCGTGATTTAAAAAACATAAAAAAGTTAACGCGTGCCACCTCCTCGCACATCATGTAATCCTGTTACAAATCTCGATTTTCGACAAAAATTTGAAAATTTTCTCGAAAATCGGGATTTGTAACAGGATCACATGATGTGCAAGGAAGTGGCATGATTTCGAAGATTCTTGGAAATGAGGTTTCTCCGAATTTCGGAAATTCTTGGAAATGAGGTCAGTAAGGTCGAAAATTCTCGGAACTTGACCTCATTTCCAAGAATTTTCAAAATTCTGAGAAACCTCATTTCCAAGAATCGCCGAAATCGTGCTACTTCCTTGCACATCATGTTATCCTGTTACAAAATAAATTTTTCGACAAAATTTCCAAATTTTTGTCGAAAATCGAGATTTGTAACAGGATCACATGATGTGCGAAGAGGTGGCACGCGCTAACTTTTTTATGTTTTTTAAATCACGATTCTCAGTTTTTTAAAAATCTTTATTTTTTCGAAAAAAAAAGTATTTCGTATCTTAAGAATAAGAATAAACCAGAGGGTGGAAAACTATTTTTCGTAGCCACCCCCTTTTTGTATACATATGTAATGTAGAAATAATACTCTGGGGGGTGGTTACCACCACCCTCTGGCTACGTCATCATGACGTCATCACGCGATAAAATAAATTTAAAATAAAATTAATTTTATTTTTGCGACGGCCGGGATTCGATCTCACGAACCCACGGTTTTAATCCTGACACTCTAGCATCGAGCTATCAAGACATTTTGGAAATTGTATTTTAAAACTTGTATTTAAGTTTCAAAATAGATAAATAAACTTAAAAATTTATTGAAAGAGATGTACATTACTGTTTCCATGACGTCATCCGCGAAAAAATATTTTTACGACTGGCGGGATTCGAACCCGCGATCTCACGTACACTAGCCGGCGCCTATACCGACTTGGCCACGGAGGATTCTTAATAGAATCGTCTTAAAACTTGTATTTATGTGTACGTTTTTTAAACAAATAAATAAATTTTCTTAACGTTGCATTCTTCTGTATTTTTTTTTATTCATAAGTATATTTTTAATGTAGGAATTTTTTTTACATGATAAAAATTATTTTGACTACTTATTTAATTTCGTTTAACTATATTTTATTGATTCCATTTGTCGTACATAAAGATTTTTATTACATTTCTTTAATGTACATCTGATTATTAACATATATTAATATGTAATTGATAAATAAAGTACATTGAAAAATATAATACGTCATTTTTAAGCTGCCATTGTGTATTGGTAATCCATTGGACGTCTCATAATTATCCTTCTATTATCAGGAAATTTTTCAAAGTGCTCAGGCATGATGGAAATTTTATATTTGTCCAGTCTATTCCAATAGTATGAGGTGTAACTGTAACAAAAATATGCAATATACATGAAACACATATATAAAAGCATTATATATATTAAAGGTGATCAGTTTTCTTACCTGTAGAAGAGCTGAATGGTCCTGAATCTATCATTTATAGGTCTCCAAAGTTCAGAATCCTTCATGTAGAGTACTTAGATATAAATACCAAATTTCCCAAGTGCATAGTGTTAATTATAGTCCTCAGAATACTCAATTGCAGTCCTTCAAATTTGATTATGTGTCCCTTTGGTTGCCATATTACAATTACATTGATCCAAATAATATTTCTCATATAACAATATCCAATAGTTCCATGTTTTATCTGTTATTTTCACTTGCAATGTTCTAGAAAAATAAAATCATCAAAATTAAACAATGATACATGTAAATATAAGTGTGAGAGAGATAGAATATTTCAGATAGAAAAGGATAAAAAATACAGTAGGCCCTCGACTTTCAAACATAATTTGTTCCTGAAAGTGTGTGCAAATATTGATTGATAAAAAGTAGTGGGATGTAAAAAAAATATGCATCAAAAACTGTATTTTAATGTATTTATCTATCAATATGTATATATAATGAAGTTAACACGTTGAGCGCCATGTTCATTTTCAAAGAAGTCCCCGTCAGGCCACGCGCGCCATTTAGATATATAATATCATATGGTGTCAGTCATAAGTGACTGACGCGGCCTTAACGTAAAGTCTAATGTCAGTCACCGATGACTGACGTGGCGCTTAACTTGTTAAAGAGGCATGTTTTTGAGGTTAGGAGGCTTTCGGACGTTTGTTTTTCCATCTGTGAGCATTTAAACGAATATACTGGGTCAGTCATAAGTTGAATGTCGCAAATGTTTGAACAAGGAAGACATGTTCTACTAACTAGGACATGTCTTCCTTGTTCAAACCCATGTCCCAGTAGACATGACTCATCTAATCATGATGCGAATGGGTTAAAAATGTGCGAAATAACGAAAGTAGAATGTTTGAAAGTCGAGGACAGACTGTATAAGATAAATAAGTGTGTATGTGTGTGTTAGAAAGAGTGTAAAAGAGATGAGAGTTGTGAAAGAGGAGGAGAAGAAGAGGCCTTGGGTTGGAGTAAAGGTTTGCCTGGGCTGTCTACGAGAGAAAAGAAAAGGAGGAGTCCGTAGAACTACTCTCATCTCATTAGCTTTTACGAGCCCTTATGCTCTCCTGACGGCGCCGAAGCGTCTTTTACTGCCCGTTCATCTCACCGAGTTAATCGTAAATCCATCTTCAGGGCGCGTCCACCGTTTCGTCTCGCTATACCAAGCCTCCTTCCCCCAAATCCCCCAAATCCCCCTTCTTCCCTTTTTTGTTTTTTGGTTATGTCAGTCAGTCAGTCAAAAGAAAGAAAGTTTGACAGAGATGGAAAAGCAGAGTCTTATGAGTGAGAGTGAGAGAGAGAGAGAGAGAGAGAATCGTATTTTCTTTTTCCTAACCTCAAACTTGTCTACCATCCCTTATATCCCCACCATTTTATTTTACAATAGAAATAAAGTTTGACAGAGATGGAAAACAGAGTTTTATGAGTGAGAGTGAGAGAGATGAATTGGTTAGACGAAACAACATCGTTTTGTTCTTCTTCCTCCTAACCTCAAACTTTTCTACCATCCCTTATCCCCACCATTTTACTCTTTACTCTTTGGTCTTCTTCTCCCACGTTCGCATTTTATGAGACACTTTGTGTGCGACGGAATTTAACGCGAGGAGTCACTCACTTCGTCTACACGTGAGAAACTAACCTAAGAAAATCGATCGTTGTTTGGGTCAAAGGTTTCGACTTACGACTATAAATCCTCTTCTCTATCTCTCACACCCCTTTCCCACCCCCATCCTTTAGGCTGTTTTTTTATTGCTTTTTTCTTTTCAGTTTCTTTTTCTTCGTATTTTTGGAGGGGCGTTTTTTATCCTAGTTTTTTATGGAACTTTTGTTTTTAGGTTAGGAGAAAAGTAATTTTATCATTTATTCAGGGTTTGATAATATTTTTATGAATTTATCGTAAAAGGATAAATTTGAGATGATAAAAGTACATTTTACTCTTCCCCTTAATCTTATTTATCATCCATGGTGTATTGCACCGTATTTTTGCTTTTTTTTTTTGAATTNCACACACACACACACACACACACACACACACACACACACACAGACAGACACAGACACATAGGTTGTTGGTATCGATGTAACAAGGATTTCATAGAACTCGTTATTGTTAATAAATTAGAATCATCCCCCTCCCCACTTCAGACAAAGGTAGATGACCGTTTTATAACTGTTTGCATTTTCGTAAATAGGAATTAATTGAATATCAATATATATTCGAGTATTGGCAATTGAATTTTAGGGTTTTTATCGTATGTTCGATCATTTTCAAAAAGGGGGTAGGAAACGGTAGGGAAGTTTCCATTTGTTAATTAATTGATAAGTGATCATTGATATCGTAGAATTTTTTATAATTATTATTTAATTTTTATTTTGATTAATTGTTTTAGCATTAATCAAAATCAAAAAGTTAAATTAATCGTTTTTTATATTTAATAGAAAATTATTTTATTACTTTTGTTATTTAACAAATTTAATATAATATATTATTTATTAATATAGTAAAACTAATTATAAAAACAAAGATAACAATATATAATCAGTAAACAATAAAAAATATTATAACAAAAACTATATAATTTAAAAAAAAAATTATTACAAAAAAAAATTATATATATTAAATATTAGAACCAATTTCAAAGTAGACTTATCGACAGTGTTAAAATGAATACACACGATTGTGTCGGTAACATGTAATGTCGGTAAATTATCGACAGTTGAAAACAAATTTCTTATCATTTTTTCACTTTCTGTTTTCAGATTCGTCGATATGATAGGAAGCTGTTCAACCAGTTCAGAGTCTTCGCTGTTAGATGGCGCCACTCGCGGTACTGTCCCTACTCTTATCAAGGGCAACGTTAAGGTCTTACCTGAATTTCATTTATCCGAATCTAAAGTCAAACCAAACACCAACGATGAGGTCAGGGTTTTCAAAACTTATGAAAAACCCATTACTTATGTTGTACGTCCTGTTGAAAGGTGCATACGAAGACACATTTATTATAATGACAGCATTAATTATTCGATTAATAATCGATTATCCGAATCTCAAATTCCCATCAACAGCGTGGAAGAGGATTCTAATCATCTCAATCCTGCCAATTTAATATACATGGGTTTTTCTAGATTGATACGGTCTTTCAGGGATTTATTATCAATCAATTCTAGAAACCATGAACACCATGGGACACGATGGTTCTCTGATATTCATGGAAGAAGATGCTTTAACATTTCCAGTAAGTTTTTTAAATTATTCTCTTATTCGTTCGAGTACGATAGATGATCAATTTAATATTACAAAAAAAAGAAGAAAAAAAAAGAAGGAATCTGACTTACCTACTTTATAAAAAAAAAAAAAGAATCGATTTTAAGATTTTGGGATTTTGGGATTTGGAAATGTTTCAAGATTTAATTTTTATAACAATGTTTTTTTTTTTTTATATTATTCAATTTTTTATGACATTATTTAATAACCACAGATAATAAAACAACTTTTTTTTTCTTTTTTTTTTTTTTCATTTGTGATTTTTTTTTCAACTTAGAGATTTAAGTATTTGTAATTACGTAATGACATTTGTTAAATTTTTTTATCTTAATGAAAATATAAAATACGCGCGGATAGTTTTTTTTTTTTTTTTTAAATGTCATTGTTAACGTATTTTCTTATCGTTTAATCGTTACGATAAAGATGATAATCTTGCAAATTTAGATAACCAATTAGATACGTCGCAACTTAATATTTCAAATATGTATACATATATATATACATTTTGTTTTAGCATTTTTTTAATTTTATCTTTAAAATTACAATTTAAAATATTTTACATCATATCACGTGTCAATGTTGTTTTATCATTGGTTAGTAGTTCACGTGTGTGTTAATTTATTTTATTTTATTTTTTTTATTTATTCGTACGAAAAATTTCGCGGTATTTCGTGTTAACATTTTTCACAATGGGAATAGTGACGCATTTATGGAATTTCTGATATAAAAACGGTAAGTTGTGTTAATAACAAATCTGTAAAAGTGTGTGCATCCTCGATACGGTTGAAGCTTTCACACTTGGATACAAAAGTAGATTAGAGATGTTTAGATTTATTTCTAAAAAGAAAAAAAAAAAAAGAAATTATTTCTAAAATTGTCTTTCAATTATTCTTCTCATTCTACTTGTTTTTATTAACAATTTTATATTATTTATATATATATATATATATATTTTTTTTTTATTATAGTATAATTTATGCATGTAAAATATATTTACATAATATGCATAGAAATGAGCACGCATCCTATGTATTTTGCATGTATTAATATTATTCACCATACATTATTAAATATTAAAATTGGTATATAAATAATTGAGTTTGTTGAACATTCTATTGAATTATTTAAATTTTTTTTTTTTAATTACAATCCTGTTGAAAATTGTTGACCCATTTTACGGTCAACAAAATAACTCAAATTTTGACCATTAATTTTAATACAATTCTATAATAACCGAAACTAAGTAAATGTAAATCAAAATGTGTTGCATCAGTTAGCAAATGGTGCATAATTAAATAAATTACAACAACAAATATATTATAAACAATAATAAAAATAAACTAAATTAGTAAACCAAAATGAGTTGCATCAATTTGCAAATGGTGCATAATTAAATAAATTAGTATTAATAATACTAATAAAAAAATATATTATAAATTTTTATTTATGTAGGAATTTCATAATGAACAAAATAAATGAATTTCATAAATGAACAAGACAAAAAATAAAACAACAAGGAAGTATCGGTTTTTGTACTCCTGTAAGAAATGCAAATACGAATTACGTGTCAATGTGTATGATTGTAATATTATAAATAATATATAATTGAAAATATTCAATAACATTTATAAATAATTCTTACATATATA